CAAATGTCTTCTGTATATCTGTCTTCCAGCGATTACCTCTATGCCTTAAGATCACTTTGTATGTCTCTTCCAATATATAATTTTTAATGTAAAAAAATCTGACCATACTATATATCTGGCTTAAAAATTGCTTTTAAAAAGCTTTACAGTACATTTTGCCTTCTTTCCACATTTATGTCTATACAAACACACGCACTGGTTCATCCTGGGTTTTGCCACCAAAACAAACAAACAAACAATAAAAACAAAAACAAAAAGAACCCCACACTTGTTTTCTTAATATTTATTTTTAATAATAACTCTGAGAAGTGTTTCATATTAATATAAGTTCCTCTTAGAAAGACAAGTCCCTCTGTCATTAAAAAGGAAATTTTAAAAAGCCTCCTTTGTACATTACGTATTTTCTCAGGGATACATTAAATAGAAATATTGATTTTTGTTTTAAGAACACAACAATTCCAAGTGTAAATCATGAGAGTATTTTTTTCCTTATTTAGTAAAGCAAAATAAAAGGTTGTTTAGAGATGACAGATGACGTTTCTTCTGCAAGTCTTGGTGGGAAAGGACTGGAAATGCTTTGTTCCCCTGAAGCCAAACTGCTCAGCAGTTAAAACTCAAGGAGCGGTCAGACAGGTTTAACAAGAATGATGCCTACCTCTCCACACCCACCTTTGCAAGACAGAACTGCTTCAAGGCTTTGTTGAAACTGCTGAGGAACTGTACGATAACTTTTTCCTATATCTGAAATGTTTCTGTCTCATGCCAGCAGGCTTTAAATGTTTCAGGTTAAAATTCTGCAAATCAGTAAACAATGCACAAATAGAATCAAGTTAGATTTGCTGCCATAGGCATTACTTTATTATTATTTTATTTTATTTTTCTCACAAACATGTTTATTTTTACTTTCTTTTCTTTTCTTTTATCAATATACACTGTAGTTGATTTTCACGTCCTTTTACCAAATCCTCCCTCCCCACTCCCTTTCCCCCCTCCCCATGGGCATTCATTTAAAGGAGAAGAAACAATCCTTTGGGTGCTCCCCCTGATTTGCTCAACTTTCTCTTAAATCCAGCTCTTTCTTGCTAAAGAGAAACTATCTCATTTGGAAGTCAGCAGTCAGTTCACTTAAATCTTGAGGATCTGGTTAGAGAACTAGAAGTAGCCCAGTTGTTTTGGACCTTCCCAAGTCTGAATGGCCCATGGAAGTTCTTAGAGCTTCCTAGTGGCCCATGGATTACTGAAGGTTTCAGGAAGGAACTCTCACCCTTTTTTCGGGTCTGCAGCCCAACGATGAGGGCTATGGAAGGATTGCTGGGAAGACCCTACAAGGGATGGCCTGCATCCCGTAGGGCAGGATCATTTTCATGTTTGCTGTAACTGCCTTCCATGAAGCCATCGTTCACAGCCTCGCCCCTTCTTGTTTCCCATCCACAGTGAATGCTACTTGCCATTGATGTGAAAAGAACAAGGGTGGATCATCGGCATGGAAAGCTCCAGGATCTGCACTTGACCACTTTCAAAGAACCTTTTTAAAAACAATGCCACCAGACAATATTATGCACCTTTTAGAGCAGTACTAACAAGATGTTTTACATAAGTTTGGAAAATGCTCATGATATAATGCTAAATTAAGAAGCTGAATACGAACTCGCATATATAATCTGACATCAGTTAGCTAAAGATTCATCGGGGAGATTTTTTCTGGAAAGAAATCTACCAAAAATGACTGCCTTGCCTGGTTGTTATAATTATAGATTAAATTTTCTTTCTCCATTCCCTCCTGCATTTTCTGATTATTTTACAGCAAACATATAGACTTTTATAATCAGGAGGGAAAAAATCCCCAACTTGAGTTCATCCTTTGAAGCAAGTCTCTTGCGTGATTTGCTGAGTGAGCTCTCGGCTCCAATCTGGGTTTTGCCCCCTTCCAGGCTGGGACCTTGGCAGGTAATGTAAGTTCTTTCTCAGGCCTCAGTTTTCTGGGAGTAGGACGAGATGAGGAGTGCCACTCCCGTGCCTCGCTCAGCCAGTGAGCGGGAACCGGTCTGTATATGGGATCCGAACCCTCGGCGGGAGCGCCGCCGCGATTCCCAAGTGGCGCACTATAGCAGTGCGCCACCGGGCCGGCCCAAGGTTAATTTATTTTGCTCTTGTATTATATTCACTGATTGTGTGGGTGGCCCACTAAAGTAAGTGTGAGTTATTGGTTAGCTTGGTAGGTTAGAACTCAGTAGGCCAAGGGTGTGGGTGGCCCCCATATGGTCCAGAGCTGTGCTTGTCATTATCTGGACCCTTAACCTCCAGCCTCCTATCTTGTGAACTTGGGCTCTTAATGAAAAACAGGATCAGGCTGGGAAAAATGAATGAATCCCTAACATCCATGCTATCCAAATAAAGGCAGTCGAAAAACATACTCTTAAAACACAAAGGATAGCACAACTTACTAGCTATTACTTGTGCAACAACAAAAACGAGTGGAAATAAAAATAAATCTCACTCCTACAGTGACAGAAAATGTATTTGAGATGTTCCTCTCAGTTATTTAGTTTCTAAAATGTAAACCACCCTCTCCTGGCTAAAACAAAAACCACTACAAACAGAAAAATTCTCCTGTTTCTGAGGACACCTGAACAAAGGAAAATAATGAAAGGTTTGGGACAATGTATATACTTTACAAACATTTTCCTATTTCTGAAATGGACTTCGTATGTTTTACCAAAATGCTTTCTTCAATGAAAGCCTTGAATAGTTTCAACTTGAACTAGGAAAGATCAATCTTATTTTTGCGACACTGAGATACTAGATTTCACGATTTCTGGAAGATTCTAATTTATTCATATAAATGGAAGAGTAAAAAAGAAAAAGTAAATATATATATTGCATTCCTAAAAATGTAATTGTCTACCATTTAAATAGGAATTTTCTTTACCTCACATTATAGCTCCAATCCTACCTTTTGCCTATAGTTCTCATTTATTAAAATACTACTCCCCTGGCAGGCAGAACACTTATTTTAACTCACAGGCTGTAAATCTTTCTGTGATGAGGGGATATCATTTGCCAACAGAGATATGAGAGAGTTCCCATGGGATTTTGAGCAAGTAAATGGTTCCTCTTAATCTCACTGAAATCAAGGTGTTCTGTTTAGTTTTAAAACTCTGCCCAGGATATGCCTCTCTCTTAGCTGCAAGGTCATTTCTAATGTCAGGCAGAGAGAAAGTTGCCTGTCAGTGATCTGTCTCTATCAGTAGAAGGGGAGGTATCTGCAAGTGGAGAGAGAAAAAATAGCTGACCGTAGGTCAGCTAGTAAAGACTTTGCCAGATTTTGGATTCTGAAATTCTTAAACCTAATTGTAAGAAACAAGCTACTTTTAAATCCCTTTGCTGTGTGCCCACAATTCTATAAACATACCTGGATTATAGCATGCCTAATGCACTGCAATTATTCGTTTTCCTGTTGCAGACTTTGATATCCTACAGAGCAAAGTTGTGCATTATTCATATTCGTGAGTTTGGCATTGAGCCTATTGTGTGACACACAGTAAATGTTCAATAATGGCTTTTATATGAATGAATGTTAAATATCTCCAAGAGGGAGGTTTACTAATTCACATATGGGATAAAGATGGAATCACTGAAGGTTAAAATTTCACATTGAGCAACGAGCTTTCGTTTTAATGGATGGTACCTTAGCTTTATATGATGTCTCGTAGTTTTCAAGAATGTTCAGATAGTTTATTTCATTTGACCCTCACTGTAGATCTGGAAGGTTGGCAGAGCGAGTATTATTATTTCTATTTTGCTCTTGCCCAAGTAAATTGTAGTACTAGCATCAGAACTATGGTCTTCTGATCCCTAATCCTCACCACAAGGATGAGCCAACCTAGAGGACTAATGTGTGCATGACATCTCTCTAGCATGTCTACTTATTTCATTCTCTTATTTTCCTTTATCAACCTTAGTGAAAGACAAATGAAAGCCATTGTCCTCTCAGACCTGGCATATTTGGAAGCCATTGTGTTCTTGGGAGTGCCTGGAAGAGTGCAGGAAGCAATAAGACAGGCTAGGAAGCAATGGCAGCCAGATGTATGTATTCAGCGGGCAGTGCTTTTCACCTCTTCCCCTGTTGTGCAAACAGATTGAACAGCTCTGTGAGCCTGGGTGTTGTTTGGGTCTGTGCAGAGCCCTGCTCCTGACTACCCAATGTGAGCTCTCAGAGAAGCCTCTTGGCTGAGGGGTGCTGTCATCATCACTGGGAGGTAGTTGCTAGATATGTGTGTTGTTTTTAAGGAAAATTTCTCCTGTGGAATTGCACGCCCCTTTTATCACACATTATTGGAGAAAAGGAATCCCTGAATTTTTAAAATCGAAGTATTACTACAACATTTTTAAGGACTGTAGCTGTGCCTCATTCATCTTTGTATTTTGCAGAGTCTGGCATTAACCTTTCCATCTAGCAGGTTATAATTATTTGCTGAACAAATGTGCAAAGAAGAAAAACATCCTAAATCAAATGTTGTACATTATACCCTGACACCCTGAAATGGCCTTTCTTCTTTCCAGCCAATGGATATTATGGGCTGTTTGTGCTGAGGCTGACTTCCAGCCATTAATTCCATTTCAGAAAAAACAGTCTCATTTATAAATCAGTTTGTACAATCATTTGATCACTTGACCACATAATGAGAAGAAATTGAGACAATTATGGAAATTATCGGGTGTGCTAACAGTAGTAAACTTTTATCTCGTATGTTTGACTCAGATTTAAGCTGTTCAACTGTGAAGAAAAAGAAAAGGACATTTCGTCAAAGATTGTGGCTAAAAGGTCAAGGCGTCATTAGAAGTGCTATAGTATGGCAACTTCTAGAAAACTCCCCCCCCTCCCTATACAACATGCAAATGTAGTTTGTTTTTCGTTTTCAGTTCATAAATATTTCGGAAATACATTGTAGAAGGTAAGTTAACTAGCATTGCTCAAGAAGATGAGAAATATTTATAAGTATCTTTAAATGGTGTTTATTAAAGAGTAATTTAACAGTTTTCCAAATTATAGAAACAGCTTTTTAAGGATCATGTGACTGGGTGTGTATGTAAACCCGGTTTCTGGAGTACTTAACACTCAGCCACTAACTGGGAGTGGCCCTGGAGCAAATCGCCGGAATGTTCTGGCTCGGAGTTGCTTATCTGTACCAAGTGGATGATATCTGTCCAGGATTCTTTGCCACTGGCAGGCTCAAGTCCAGGAAGGGCCCCCGCCATCGACTTGTGCAGAGAGCTCTGAGTTCCTAAAGGGACCGGGTTTGTAGAGAAAGGTGTTCGGGGGCGCGCGTGAGACAAGCATCCCCAAGGTTCTTTTACACAATTTGGAAATTCGGGCTGGGGGTTGGAGTCTTTACAATTTCTCGTTTATAATGGCCATCAAAAAGGAAAATAAAAGAAATTGCAACTTATATTTTCATGTTATTACATGAAAAATGCTCTAGTGTTTTATCTTAACGCCAAAAGAATTTATGGTTAAAACTTCGTCAGGAAGTGGCGGGTCTCTGTAAAAATCATTTTTTTCACGTCGGAAATCGGAATTAAGGCCATTTTCCTGTATTACTGGAATAAAAGAAAATTCGGGGGTGGGAAAGCCCCCAAACAAAACCCCTTTATCCAAGCGTTTTCTCCTCGACTGTGTTTCTATTCAAAGCTTGGTTGGTACCGTTTCCAGGGATGAGCAAAAGTAAACGTTTAATAAGTAATTGTCCAATCGAGTGGCCCTTCCAGCCCAGCTTACTTCCGCCCCGGGAACCGGAGACATCCTCAAAAGCCGGGGCACGCTTTCCCGACCCGTGTGCTCGGAGCGGAGCTCGGCGGCCCCCGCGAGCGCACGTCCTCCCCGCGGTGGTCGCGCCGGGGGCGGTCGGGTCGCGGGGACCCCGCCCCTCCTTGCGTTACTCAGGCCTCGGTGGAGCTGGGCGGAGCCGCCGGGCGCAGGTGGGGAGTGGCGGCCCGAGCGCGTCGGCGACACCCCCGGG